CACACACACACACACACACACACACACACACACACACACACACACACACACACACAGGTTGGTTTTTGTATCCTCATGGGGACACTTCAACCCTGACCTCACAGGTTCATACTGGTCTGGACTCCCTCCAGGACCAGGTGGTCTGGACTGAGTCCAGTGGTTCTGTAGAACCTTCGTGGAGTCTTTCAGCAACAGGAACCAGCAGTTTATTAATTTACTTTGAAAACTTTTATTTTTCATTTAAACAATTTTAAACAGAACTCTTTAGAACCGGCCAGCTGGGCCCAACATGGGCAGGAGGTTCTGGTTGTAGGTGAGGAACCTCACAGCGCTGCTCCTCACTGCTCCTCGGACCTCGGCCTCCTTCCTGCTCCCCTGAGGACGAAGCCCGTCCTCCTGCAGACACAGGACCAACAGGCCCGTCAGGTTCTACTGAGTCCAGTTAGAGGACCGAACCAGAACACACTCACACACACAGGTGGGGTTTTATATCCACATGGGGACATTTCAACATTCTACAGAACCTGGTTCTGGATCATATTTTATGTTTTTACATGTTTTTTATGTTGAAGTTTTGACACATTTTATAATTTTAAACAAACAAAAACCTAAAAATTTAATCCTGACCTGGATTATTGGATCAGAACCGACCTTGGGTTTAGAACAGCTGATCTGGTTCAGTTCCTTCTGGAAGTCTGGGAACCGGTCATGGAAAACCACCAGCAGAGAGCTCTGACTGAAGAACCTGAGGAACACAGAACTGTTCCAGTGAGACAGACCTGGTCCCTGTCTGGTCCTGGACCAGCAGAGAGTTGCTTTTTGTCTCTGTAAATGGTTCTGGTTCTGATTGGGTCCAGTAAAAAACTTCCAGTTCAAAGATTTCATTTTAGCTTCAAATAAAGTAAAACATTTTAATAAAATTTGAATAAACATCAATAAACACAAACATGTAATAATTATAGTTTATATCATGGTTATAAATACTACAACATGTACAGGTCTGGGATCAGATCCTGGTCCTACATGTACAGGTCTGGGATCAGATCCTGGTCCTACATGTACAGGTCTGGGATCAGAACCTGGTCCTACATGTAAAGGTCTGGGATCAGAACTTGGTCCTAAATGTACAGGTCTGGGATCAGATCCTGGTCCTAAATGTACAGGTCTGGGATCAGATCCTGGTCCTAAATGTACAGGTCTGGGATCAGATCCTGGTCCTACCTGTACAGGTCTGGGATTAAACCTGGTCCTACCTGTACAGGTCTGGAATCAGACCCTGGTGGTAGCGGTTCTGCAGCTGACCCAGCAGGTTCTGGTGCTGGCCGTACAGACTCAGGTAATTTGGGACAGGGATGGGCTTCAGGGACAGACAGGTGAGGGTCTCCACCAGCTCATGGTGGTCCAGATGCAGACTGAAGTAGTCCCCGGTCTCTGCTCGTCCCGTCACGATGTCTCCATCCTGAACAGGACGTTCTGGGTCAAAGTGGGTCATCGAAGAACAGACAGAACTAAAGATGCTGAAACTCACAGGCTGAGCACGAGGACTAGACCGGTCCGGTCCACCTGGTCCGGTCACATGCAGGTAGTGAAACCCTCCTGGAAGCTTTGCACCTGGAGAAAGACCAGAACCAGGTTCAGATCTGGTCTCCAGGGACTTCAGAACCACACAGGTCTGAAACAGACCTTGAACCTTGGGCCGGTCGTACAGTGGGATCAGGCGGTCTGGCTCAGGCTCATTCAGGGTCTCCAGCGTCGGATCATAGTGGGCCAGTAGCACGGCTGCCAGGTCCTGGCCCACTTCCTTGGAGCTGAAGTCTGCGTGGCTCCGCCCCTCTGAGTAGTAGCGGCAGGAGAACTTGGTAAGAGGTCCGGCTGCATAAATAAACGGGTCGCTGGTTCTGAAGGTGGAGTCTATGACGAGTCTGAAGTCAAAGGTCAGAGAGGACCTGCTGATGCTGTCAAAGACCTGGTGGTCCACTCCTTTATTGGACAGGTTGATGAAGACCTGAGGACAAAAACAAACCTGTTGTCTTTTTATTTACATCAAAACAAAAGAAAAGTTTAAATATATTTAAAAAATACTTCAGAGAAAAAAAAATAAAACTTTTATTCAAGTTTCTGTTTATTCCAAACTTTTACTTGCTGAGTAATTTACTGTGATTTGTTGGAAGCAACAAAGTGACCCGACCCGAAAGATGAACAGTGAAAAGGTGTTTGGTCCAAACTGAAAGCAGAACCAGCAAGTGATAGATTAAATCAGGGCTATTCAACTGGCGGCCCGTGGGCCACATCCGGACCGCGAGTGACCAAAGTTCGGCCCGCCAATTGGTTCATTCATCTCTTCAGCCCAAACCCCTGGTTTTCTACTTTAATTACTCTAAGTTCTTTTAGTTAAACATAGACATGTTTGGTATCTACAGAAACGTCAGAATCTTGGCTAGAAACTGGTGAAAACCTTTTCTATAAACACTCAAGACAGTTAAAACTACAAGCAGTTGAAGATAAAAAGATGAAAGTGAAAATAAAATTGGTTTAAAAATCTGGCAAGTCAGAGATGTCAAAGTATGTCTAATAAGAAGCATAATGTGTTCTTTTTGTTTTTTATAATGTGTAATTATCACTACTTTTATAGGGTTCTGTATGTTGTATTCATGATTAAATGCAGCAAAATAAACAAACTCAAACGTAACATGTCTTTGTAATACTTGGTTTATTTACATAATAACTTTAATTGTTGGATGTTCAGCCCCTCAGCTGTTGACCAGCAGTAACTGTGGCCCCCCAGAGCTATTTAGTTGAATAGGCCTGGATTAAATCAAACTGAAGAAAAAAAATTAAACAAACTCAGATTTTCTGCTGGTTCTGAAGAAGTTCTGGAACGTGCCAAGTAGGGGTCTCTGCAGAACGTGTTGTCCTGTGGGCGGAGATGTCCCTGCTCGTGATTGGCGGAGGTCTTGATGTGGGCGGAGATGGCCCGAGACGTGATTGGTCAGATTGACGGTGGGGTTTGAGGAGGCTGGAGGCAGCGGGGAGTAGCTTGGTCGAGTCGGGCCGGAAGTATGTTTTTTTTTAGATTAATTTCAGTCATAACTTGAGAAAGGAAAGTGCTAGCTGCACGAAATTTGAACGTCTTACATGTGAAAGGATGTGTAACAATATGGTTTGGTCAAAACATCCCTTTTCAGCCAGTAAAAAGATAGCTAAAAATCAATATTTTTTTTTAAGGCTGAAAAGGGATGTTTTGACCAAACCATATTGTTACACATCCTTTTCACATGTACGACGTTCAAATTTCGTGCAGCTAGGCACTTTCCTTTCTCAAGTTATGACTGAAATTAATCTAAAAAAACATACTTCCTGCCTGACTCTATCAAGTTACTCCCCGCTGCCTCCAGCCTCAAACCCCATCATCAATCCGACCAATCACGTCTCGGGCCATCTCCGCCCACATCAAGACCTCCGCCAATCACGAGCAGGGACGTGTCCGCCCATATCAAGACCTCCGCCAATCACATCTTGGACCATCTCCGCCCACATCAAGACCTCCTCCAATCATGAGCATGGACGTCTCCGCCCACAGGACAATATCTACTGCTGAGACCCCTTACTCGAACGTGTCAGGAACCTCTCTGTCCTGCTGATGTAGAACCTCCTGTACAGAACAGAACCACAGACAGGTTTCAGTTAGATGGACCAGAACCATTTTGGGTTAAATAAACAGCAGATATCCCAGCAGATAACCGGACCCTGCCCAGGCAGGATGGTGTTCTGATCCAGTTTGGACCCTCTGTCAGAACCAAGACTTACTCCACACTGCAGATGGACGGGCTCAGGGTCCCTGCTGAAGGACACAGATGTGATCGGGTCGGCACGCTGTCCTTCGTTGATCTGAGCCAGAACACAGTTCTGGTGGACCTGGACCCCTGCGCTCCTCATGGCTGCAGCCACAGCTCTCTCTACAGCCGGGTCCCTGAAGCAAGAAGGTCCAGGTTCTGATGGAGGCTGCACCACGTGGATCCGAGATCCACCAACACCGAGACGGAGCAGAGTCTCCACGCTGGAGAAGACGTCAACGCCGTGTCCAAAGATGACAGCGTTTTCTGGAGAGGACACACATCTGAGGACACACAGCTGAGGACACAGCTGAGGACACACTGCTGAGGACACACTGCTGAGGACAGACTGCTAAGGACACACTGCTGAGGACACACTGCTGAGGACAGACTGATGAGGACACACAGCTGAGGACACACAGCTGAGGACAGACTGCTGAGGACAGACTGATGAGGACACACAGCTGAGGACACACAGCTGAGGACAGACTGCTGAGGACACACAGATGAGGACACACTGCTGAGGACAGACTGCTGAGGACAGACTGATGAGGACACACAGCTGAGGACACACTGCTGAGGACACACAGATGAGGACACACAGCTGAGGACACACAGCTGAGGACAGACTGCTGAGGACACACAGATGAGGACACACTGCTGAGGACACACTGCTGAGGACACACAGCTGAGGACAGACTGCTGAGGACACACAGCTGAGGACACACAGCTGAGGACACACATCTGAGAACAGACAGCTGAGGACACACATCTGAGGACACACAGCTGAGGACACACAGATGAGGACACACTGCTGAGGACACACAGCTGAGGACACACAGCTGAGGACACACATCTGAGGACACACTGCTGAGGACACACAGATGAGGACTCTTACCGTCCCGGTCTACAAAGTTGTCACAGATCCAGTGATGGACCATCCTGCAGTCCTGAGGGTCGTTGAGGGTGAACAGGTTGGACGGGACCGGTCCAGTGTACCTGCAGTCTGGGTCCAGATCTGGTACCTGGGTACCAACCACACCAGTTGGACACGGGACCTACATGTCACAAGAAGGTCAAAGGACAGCTGAATCCACTCATTCATGTGGGAGTTTCTGACACCAGAACCAGTCCACCCTCATCAGGACTCAGGTAGACTTGGTTCTGACACCAGAACCGGTCCACCTTCATCAGGACTCAGGTAGACTTGGTTCTGACACCAGAACCGGTCCACCTTCATCAGGACTCAGGTAGACTTGGTTCTGACACCAGTAGTCCTACTTGAGTCTCACTCGGTACTGCAGACCCGTGCAGAGGATCAGATGGTCGTAGGGGACCTTGTCTCCAGTGGACAACAGGATGGATTTGGACTTGCGTCTGATTTGGACCATCTTCCCGGTCAGGACCCTGACGCAGGAGAGCAGGTGGGTCTGGGCCAGGTCCCGGCTGCTGTGGGCGTGGCTGCAGGAGGTCCAGAACACAGAACAGCTGAACAAATGTCTGTTGGGGTCTAAACGTTTCAGACGTTCTCAGTCACCTGGTGGACAGGAAGCCCACGTCCTCAGGGTCGTAGTCACCATGGAAACCATGAGTGGAAACAAGAACCAGGTTGGTGAACCTCAGGTGAGGGCTGCGAGGAGACAGAACCAGAACCAGAACCAGAACCATGACCCAACAGTGAGGGGAATTCAGCATTACACACAGTCTGGAGGAGGGGGGTTACATGTCTGGACAGGACTGATAAGAAGGTCTCAGCAGGTCCAGACTGACCCGCTTTACTCTCTGAATGTCCCCCCATCCGTCACACTGACACACACACACACACACACACACACACACACACACACACACAC